ATTCATGCAGATTTTCATAGCGGCAATATTTTGCAAGACCAAACCACTAATGAAGATACACAATCATATATCGCAGATTTTGGATTTTCTAGAAAAAAAGATAAAAGTGATTCAGGAGAAATTTATGGAGTTATACCCTATGTTGCACCAGAAGTTTTATTAGGCGAGCAGTTTACACAGGCAGCAGATATTTATGGGCTTGGTATTATTATGACAGAAATATCAACTGGACAAAGGCCTTTTGATGGATGTAAATTTAATACTAAACTTGCAGCAGAGATTTGCAAAGGATTGCGACCAAAGTTTGCACCTGAAACTCCTAAATGTTATATTGAATTAGCTAATAAATGCATGGATTCTGATGCAAAAAATCGGCCTAAAGCTTATGATGTTTATAAAAAAATAAGAGATTGGCTTGATAATATTGGTTCAAAAGGGGATAATAAAATTAAAAAGCAATTCTTAGATGCAGATAAAGTTGATAAATCATCGCCAGTGTCCAAACATTCTGATGAAATATACACTAGCGAAATTATTAGTACAAAATTGATTAAAGGTATTTATTTTCAATTAATATATTAAAATTATGTATATTAATTTATTTAAAAATAATATTATTTGTTTTAATTAGATTCTGTTCAATTAAATCTTGTTATTGATGAACTTTGAAAGCTCTGATATGTGTGCAATAAATTTATTTTATTTATTTTATAATTTGTAAATAGTAATGATTTAAATTATATCTTAAAGACTAAAAAAAATTGAACTGATTGATGTTGCGAACGTGGTATTATAGCATACTAGATTAAATCGTCAAACGAAATGATAATTATTTTAGATGCTTTCAAATTCTTTAATAAATTAATTATTAATAATAAAATTTTTTTTTAAAAAAAAAAAAATGCGAATAAAAAGGCCGTCATCAATAGAAATCAAACAGATTGGCAATAAAATAATAATAATAATAAACTTAATGCCTACAAATAAAATTGGTTATAATAATATTATATTAAGGTCAAAAAGTACCCGGGACCCGGCTGTTTTAGTAAAAATGACATATAAAGTTTCAAAAAAAAAATTTTATATAAAAATAATATCGATATGATTACTGTGCAGGAAATTTAAAAACCTCAATCTCTACTTAGAAATAATGCTAACACATCGAAAATTAATTTCTTAAAATATCATCTAATCTCTACAAGAATAATGAATTTAGAAACAACTTATCAAATATGACTAGTTTATCGTTAAATTGACTGGTTTCAGAGGGGTTTCAAGTGCATATGAGCTTGTAAAAATTGCATTAGCAGATCGAATTTCGTACTGATTCCAAGGACTATTTCATCTTTTGTGTTTTCATATCGAAATTAAATAGTTCACGATGTTCTTTTGCTGTTGGTCTTTGGATGGGACAGCATCTATACCTCTTTTACAAATTGAATATATAAATTGGGGTTCCCTCAGCAAATACAGGGCACAAATCATTAAAAGCAATAAACAGCTAGATTTCATCAAGTAATTTTCCATTCAAAACTTCTGTCACAATAATCTTGAATTTAAGTTGAAAAGCAAATCAAAAAGAAAAAAATAAATAAAGATTTAGATATGGAGAATATATATGTTTTTCCTGAATTTACGAGGCTCTGTTCATTCTTGTTTTAAATTGAGTCAGTCTCTACCGTTATAATGCTTCGGAGCTTTTTAATCAAATCACGATTATTTACGTGGCTATATTCTTGAATAGATGCTCTGCGCATAGCATAACATAGCATAATTTTTTTTGTACTTTATTATATTACGATCCGCTACAACCCTCGATAAAGTCAATTTTATCTTACAGAAATTCTGGAACAACTGAAAAAATTACCGATGATCGAATTGATAAGTCACCGAGTCGGAATCAATAAGTAACCGATTTCGGCCGAACTCAGACTTATCAATTCGGTCATCGGTAATTTTTTCATTTGTTCCAGAATTTATGAAAACAGCTGTAAATATCAAAATTGCGACTTTTAAATTCGGAAAATTCTATAACAGTAGAGACTAACTCGATAGTGACCTCAAATATAATAAACGAACTTACCCCTGAAATTATGTTTACTACGTACCGGTACAGTACGTTGCGACAGGGTAAAATCATGGCTTGAGATAAAATTTTCTTAAAATAGAATATTAGATGCATATATACTGGTATGCGGCACAGTTATTTCGTTCAATTTTGTACGAAGACAGTCGTTCAATTTCGAACGAAGGCATTCATACAATTTTGTACGATTCTGTTCACCTTCGTTCAAATTTGTACAATTAATGTATTTTTATATAGAGGACATAGTAAAAGTAGTTTCAATAGCAAACACAGCCCTCATGTATGCAGTAGTGGTCTAAAAGTATATAAGACCGATCTTTTCGTTTCAATAAAAGATAACTAAGTTAGAGTTTGCAGAACTCAGTGAGAGTTGGAAAAACTCATTAATGTTCGACTCATAGAGAGTCTAATATTCTGACCTTAAAGTTTCGATCCAATTACCCCCTGGTAAATTAAATTCGCATAGAATTAGTAGTCTAAACCCGTAATCCTGAAGTAGAGTCTCGTGACGTAATCAAGAGCTCTATTTGGCCCTAATAACTCGGACCAAGTCTTACCACACCTCTTTCTTGCCTACCGCTATTAGGGTTGAGATAGAGTTTGAGTAGTGTTTAGATTAGTTTTAGTATCAATTGATATCCGTATCACCCACATTTCCCGATTCCAGATCAGTTCCCACGCTCACAACGTACGTCTAGTTACCTAAATATTGAATATGTTGAGACCATCATGCATATAATTTTCCTATATTGAGGCCGAATGGACAATTCATCGAGATTCTTACGCAAACTGGTTTGATGATCGTATTGAAAATTGGAAGTTGAGTACTTATTTGTGCTGGTAAACAAAATTAAAGATCCTATTAATAAATTCGAAGGCTTTTTTAAATCTTCTAGCAATAGTTTCTCCATAATCACGTAATTAAATTTAGTAAAAATTTTTATTTAATTGTATAATAATGTAAAAATAAAATAAAAAAAAGTTTATTGAATCTGGTTTAGTAGTTGTTGAGAGATCATCATGAAAAGTTTAAAAAAGCTTAAACGGGTAAGTTTTCTTTCTTTGAACTTTAAACGACGCTTTCTAGATAACCAACTATCCAAATTTGATGAGCTTTTTTTATTAATTCTGTGGATTTATAGAATTAAAATAAAAAAAAATTTGATCGAATTTGAATAGCTGGGTGTCAAGAAATATTCATTAAAAGTAAAAGAAAAATTTGGCTATAGTATCTTTTTTAAAAACATCAAAATTTTGAACGAAGATTACTCAGCACTTGCTTGGTCAAATTTGACCAATTTTTTTTTTTATTTTAACTCTATGATTATATAGAGCTAAAATAAAAAATTTTGGATTGAATTTGAATAGCTGGCTGTCGAGAAATGTTCATTAAAAGTTAAAAAAAAGTTTGGCCTCAGCTGTGCCCAAATTTTTCTTTACCTTTTAATGAATATTTTTCGACAACCAGCTATTTAAATTCAATCAATTTTTATTTTTTTTTTTAACTTTATATCTGATATATTCAAAGAGTTAAAATAAAAAATTTGATCGAATTTGACCAGGTAAGAGGTAAGTAATCTTCGTCAATTTTGATGTCTTTAAAAAGGAAGCTGCAGCTAAATTTTTTTTTAACTTTTAATAATATTTCTCGACAACAAGCTATACAAATTCATTCAATTTTTTTTTATTTTAACTCTATTTATTCATAGAGTTAAAAAATAAAAATTTAATCGCATTTGGCCAGGTAAGTGCCGAGTAATCTTCGTTCAGATTTTTGATGTCTTTAAAAAAGAAGTTGTGGCCGAATTTTTTTAATCTTTTAATGAATATTTCTCGACAACCAGCTATTCAAAATTCGATCAAATTTTTTTATTTTAATTCTATAAATCCACAGAATTAAAACAAAAAAAAAAATTTCATCAAATTTGAATAGTTGGTTGTCGAGAAAGCGTCGTTTAATTTCAAAGAAAGAAACTTACCCGATTTCAGTTTTAAAGTTATTTTAAGTTTTTTTAAAACTTTTCACGATGATTTCTCGACAACTACCAAATTTAATAAACTTTTTTTTATTTTAATTTCTCTCTCATTATTATACAATTAAAATAATTTTTTTTTTTGCCAAATTTTAATTACGGAATTATTGAGAAACCATTGCTAGAAGATTTACGAATTTATTAATAGTTTACCGACACAAATAAGTAGATAATAACACAACTTCCAAATTTCAATGTGATCAGCAAAACGAGATTATGGGCCTTTCAACAAAGAAAACAAACCATTACCGATTTTAAATTAAGATGCAAAATAATAAATAATGTTATTATGACGTTCTGTTATGATAAAAGCACTCTAAATTTTGCTCAATATTATACGTGCAATGTCCTAGAAAATATGTAAATTTTACATTTCCTATTGTGTACTACTCTTATAATATTAAAGATGGTTTTGACTTTATTTTATAAACACTGTTACGTCAACTAGACCATACCCATATCAATAAATATGCTTGCAAAATATTAAAATATTGAATAAAATTTTTTTTATTTCGTTAATGAGATGGAATCTCTGACATATCGTAATAAAACAAAGCTTAACGTTTATGATGATACGGTTTAGGAACTATAGGATAAAGACTAATTTAAATAATAATAACAAATAAATTAAGATAATAATAAAAAAATATAATGATTTTTTTAATTTTTGCGTTAAACAAATGTAAAGGTGGTGATCATCATCACCTTATTTTTAGAGTTAGGTTGCGCCTATATGTTAAGGTTAGGCTGGGTATTAGTTTAGTTTAAATTTTTGTTAGGGTAAAGTTTTCGCACTTTTACTTAGATCCCTACTTCAATTACTTCATTTTTGAGATAAAGACCCGTTGATGATCACCACTGATCACTATCTAGAATTTGTTTTATAAAAGATTTTGTTTTTCCATAAATTCCTGGTGCGTTGGACTCGATTGGTCCTTTAATATTTAAATGATTGATGTTTTCTTTTTTTAACCAATTCACAACTTGATCTACTTGATTTATTTGTTCTTGAGAATTTTCAGAATTTTCACGAAGATAAATTTTTTCTAACGGTTTATTAGAGTCTTTGGTTGTATTAATTTCTTTATCTGCATTTTTATTTTCGGAATTTTCATGAAGATAAATTATTTCTAACGGTTTATTAGAATCTTTAGCTGTTTTAATTGCATGATTTGTTTCTTTATCTGCATTTATATTTTCTAAAAGTAGAATTAAAGTTCCTTGAGAATTTTCAATGTTTTTTTCTATCGCCAAATATTTATCACCTTTAGCATCTTCTAAAAATGAATATTCTTGTTCAATTATACCATTTTCAGATCTATTGTTTAATGGACGATATCCAACAATATTAATTATTTTAGGATTGATTTCATCAAAATTCATGGCAGCGTCTAAAACTCCCTTAGCAACACCGGTCTGGCCATCAGACCTAATAGTAAAATCTTGTGTAATCATTATGGCATAAAAGTTGTAAAAAATCCATGTAAATCTTGATATAAGAAAGTTGCTGGGTCCAGTCAAAACTTTCTTATATCGAGATTTTCTTATATCAAGAGCTTTTTATTATAAATTTATAAATAGAACTTGTAAAATCTTTCTTATATCGAGGGTTTCTTATATCGAGGGTTTCTTATATCAAGAGTTGTATATATTTGATTGTAAAATAATTTTTAAAAAAATGCAATAATTAAAATTTGAGAATAATGTAAGAAAAGTTCTTTTAATATCAAAAAAAAGAAAAATTCTTGCTGATACTTTATATTATATTTGTACGCTTGTACAAAATTCAAACAATTTTAAAGCAGTGCAGTACTAGACAATACGTATTAAACTTTAAATATTTTGTTTAGTTAGTGAAAATGACGATCGTAAATTAAATCCCCAAATTTGTGAATTTTGGCGTTATGTTTATACATATTTATGATAGAGCTAAAATATAAGTCATGTTACACTTATTATGTTACACGTTTGGAATTATAGCCATACGATAAACAATGATAAGAAACAGTACTTGCGATTGTACGCACGTACAGTAAATATAAAACGTCAAGGACAATTCATTAAATTTCCTTATTTTTAAGCATTAAAATTCAATTCTTGTAAATATAATAAATTAGCAATTTAATTTTGATTATGATAACGCTAATGTAAATAAATTCGATCTGGAACCATCTTACGTATTTCCAATAAAGTTTCAGATCGACGATCCTAGCCCTCGCATTGCCTAGCATACACAAACTAAAAAAAGAGAGTCTCTACTCTAATACCGATACTGCACAGTGCGATTATCTGTAAATATTGCTTAAAATTTGACGATGAAAAACTGATATAGTACTTAAGCATTCACGAAAGAAAAATTAGAGTTGATTTTGATATTTTAAGATGACTCTTTGTTTTTAAGCATAATACTTTCAAATTACTATTGTCCGTTACCAATGATAATACTTTCAAATTACTATTGTCCGTTACCAATGTAAAGATTAAGATAGGCAGGTACTTGTACTGTACTACGTAGAGCTACCCGGGCCGGAAAATAATGACCCTGATTGGCTGATGTAAATCAATTGCCCGGGTAACTTATTTATACACTTTAAAGTACTTTTTAGGAACGTAACATCCACTAAACAAAAAAATTGTCGTGAAAGCAATTTCTATCTCTAAACGAACGTAGATATTTACCGTTAAAATTAATCCAAAATAATCCACCTCTCCAAGAATTTCACTAGGGACGAATATTTTTACTATATACTGTAGTTATACGTATTAACTATATTAAGTTCTAAATGCCAAAACCGGTCAATAAAAAAAGAAGATTGAGACGTTACATGTAAGTACTTTGAAAATACCGTTTAATATGCTATATATTATAATAATAATAGGCTTGTAAAATTAGTGTCTCTATTAGATTAATAAATATAACTTTGGATTAAGTAGTAGGTCAATAGGTATTATTGTTTCATTAATTATATGGGCTAACGGTTATGTCGCGTTTTAATAAGGTCATGATAGCTAAAAATAAGAGAATTATCTTTAATTTTCAAAATGCAACAAATAAAGAATAAAAGATAGCTTCGTTAATAATTTATTCATATATTGTTTTTTAATCAATTTGAGCTTGGATTTATTAGTATTTACGCGTTATCTATCTATTTCTAAAATGCGACAAATTCTTTTTTGCGTGCATTTATTAGTTTGTAGGCTTATTTACGTGAAGTTCTTTTCGTTTTCTAGTAGTATTAAAACGATAAATATTTTCCATTTTGATTGGCGAATCATCACGGGCCAATCATATGAATGTCTTCCTACGTACTGTTACCATCGGTTGGGAGAGCAATTGCGGATGTTAATCCAATTTAGCTCCGATGGTTAACTTGGTTCGGGATTT